TAGAACTGTAGGTACATTAACTGTTATAAGGTTACTGTGAGCACAGTTAGAGCTGTAGTTACATTGGCTGTTATTAGGTTACTGTAAGCACAGTTAGAGCTGTAGGTACATTTACTGGTATAAGGTTACTGTGAGCACAGTTAGAACTGTAGGTACATTAACTGTTATAACTTAACTGTGAGCACAGTTAGAGCTGTAGGTACATTGACTGTTATAAGGTTACTGTGAGCACAGTTAGCACTGTAGGTACATTGACTGTTATAAGGTTACTCTGAGCACAGTTAGAGCTGTAGGTACATTGGCTGTTATTAGGTTACTGTGAGCAAAGTTAGAGCTGTAGGTACATTGACTGTTATAAGGTTACTGTGAGCACAGTTAGAGCTGTATGGACATTGGCGGTTATAAGGTTACTGTGAGCACAGTTAGAGCTGTGTGTACATTGGCTGTTATAAGATGACTGTGAGCACAGTTAGAGCTGTAGGTACATTTACTGTTATATGGTTACTGTGAGCACAGTTAGAGCTGTAGGTACATTTACTGTTATAAGGTTACTGTGAGCACAGTTAGAACTGTAGGTACATTGACTGTTATAAGGTTACTGTGAGCACAGTAAGAGATGTAGGTATATACGTCACGTCCGTATAAACCTGCTCCAGTACGTGTTCTGAAATTTTGCGGTAAAGTGTGTTTGTTATGCATCTCACATGTGTTGCCAGAAACGTACATATATTTTCAGTAAGTTTGAGAATGAAATCTGTCTTAAATAGGGACAGCCCGGAATTTAATGGGTGTGAAGTGTATAGTAAGATATATGTACGATCAACCAAAAGTGTATTGTCGTCATGTGTCGGTCGAAAATTCAGTTTAGCAATTATTGGAAGAACACCAAACATTTGTTTGCTTTCAATATTTATTTCGCCAGTGATGTACGGGATTTTAATTATTGATATATTTCACATTGTGACAGATATCAGAAGTGATATTCGTCACAGTGTTAAGATATCACGTTTGGTATTTGTCAATCAAGACAGGTTATTCTATTCATTGCATCCAAAGCTGTAGAAATAAATTGTCAGTTTTGGTCCATCGGGGATACACTATGACATTTAGCTATTTTCGCAATTGATCACATAAAAACGGAAAACGTAGTCCATGGCGCGCAGCCGTGTCGTCAAGATAGACACCATTATGCTATTGCGCCAAGGATTACATTATAAACCCAAACTGTTTTGTTGTAGGTAGTTTAGATATTGAGAATTTAATAGTTTTCCATGTTAAAACTATACATATTGACAATCTGATGACAGAGTATACCGATGTGTTCACGGTACTTGCAGATATCTGTATTCTGCCATACTCGCGAAACCTTTGGTATTCAATTGAACATCAGTAAACATCCTTTATATCATCATTGACTAGCGTCAGTAGACGATTTACATTGCCGCGCAATCGCAAAAAAATGAATATGCGGCTGTATTGACGAGAAAATAATATGTTGATGAACGTTCAAAGTAGTTATAACGATTATACATCTTTAAAATCTAGTGTAATGTTGATAAAACCGGCGGCAATTGTCCGTTATTGATACAACAATAAAATATCACAAACAGTTATTTTCTTTTATTCTATAGGCCTATAGGTTAATTAACGATATTTAGTATTAACCCGTCTGCATTTTATTAATTAACCAACAGATTGAAATGAGTAATGAGGTTGTCATACAGCCGTAGCTTATTTACGATTTAGATACCATCTTACAAATAGATAAAAATGTTGTATTTTTTTAAACTTTTTTTTTATACATTTACTAATGCATTGTGGAAATGTTGATATAAAAAAAACAATGACTGAATGAGGTGCATGAAACATATTGTGTTTGTGTGTGAGTATGTGTGTGTGTGTGTGTTAGGAATCCATATTGTTCCTAACACAATATGGTCGCCTCAGGCAATTACTTGACGTCATGATATATTAATATGTCATTTAAAATTAATGTCCCCGAGTCATATGCAACGCGTATAATTTATACATGTTGATAACTGTAATCGAATTAGACAAATTGCAACGAACATGTCTACTGAGTTGATATCCGTCCTATTTTAATACTTCCTTTTCGTAGATTGCGCTAGGAACAAGTGTTAATGCCCTGCCTGTACTTCGCCGTTTGTATCAGTGTGTCGACAGGAGCAATGGTAGCTGTGGAGTCTAGGATACGTGTGTAGGACATAGGCGTGGCCAGGGACAAGGGCAGCAGACAAGGTTAGTGTTTTGTCACACCTGTAAATATTTACCAAACATCTCTGTGCTTAATTTTCATGTTGTTACCATGTGTAGCCGTGATGGCTTGTCATACCTATCTTCTTGGTCACTAGTTGGTTATATTTAAACAGTTCTATCTGTTACTGATATGAGGTTGTTGTGTATATAAGACAAATTCGTCATTGTTACAAAATCTATTAAGTTTGTTGGTATAATGTTTGTTTTCTATTTGTTGTACCATGGAACCATGGTAACCTAATGGACTCTGTCGTGTACGTTCGAAGGGAATTATGCACCAAGTTTTAGTTCACCAATACCTTAACTTGTACTTATATAAATGCATTGTTTTGTTTCTTATCCAAACTTCTAGTTGTATAAAATTCCAGTGACTATTTAGCTTTACATTTAGAGTATATTCATTAGTTTCTCTTACTATACGCTCTTCCTCTTATAATATAACATTCTCGATATTTTTTATCACGCCGCAACTTTCCCAAAAGCTTGTACACCTCATACATACACATACAGTTTATACACGGACCCAACCTAACGATTCCTCCCCCGTTTGCATACCAAATGGTAGAACTAGGCTAGTGCTGACGGCTAGTATGTTACACATATCACTACACCACCTCCAGCTTGCCGCCCCATGATCACCTGCTACAAAAGTTTAATCTTTTGGTCGCCTTGGCGTTCTGTTAGCATCCGCGACCGATAATAAAGCGGGATTGATGCTACAGTTACCCTGTCGGGGCTCTCGGCGATAACATTTAATAACAACGCTAGCTGGTATGTGTGGAAAGTTGAACTGTGAGAAGGACATTATACGTCCTGTTTTAAAATAAAATAAAATTGATTAACATAACATACCAGATGTTATTAGCTGACTTATTTAAACGTTTTAAAGATCATCTAAATCTTTTTCATACAGTCGATTTTTTCCCACAATTGTGACATCTGTTTTACAGCGCGCATTGTTTACAAAATAAATACACTTGTTTTTTGTGCTTGTGCATTGTGAACATAGAGAATTATCAACAAGCTAGCATTGGCTAGTATATACTATATAACTACGACGGAATGCAACAAATCATCATCATCTTGGTTTTAAGTTTTTTATTTCCGAATGCAAATCAGCATATAGGTTAATTGATACATAGAATACAAAACATATTTCAAATTTTCAAGATGGCGGAGGACAATTCCATATAAGCAATTATCACATAAAAAGAATACATCATTTAGCAATATTACTACACGAGGGTTTTTCTTTTGGCGGTAGCATATTTTAAATACAGACCCAATCTACGTAATGTTTTAATACTTTTACATGACAATAATTCAATTAATTTATACACACTGGGGCATCGGAAGTAATATTGCTTAATGTATGTGTTTCTCAATACAGAGTAAGCAGGACAAATAAGAATAAAATGTATCTCATCTTCTAAATCATTTTTGTCACAGGCAAAACATAATCTTTGACCTCTCGGAACCCCATTATAACGTCCAGATTCGATATTAAGGGAATGCGCCTGCATGCGATATTGACTCAACATTTTTTTGGTATTAAATGTTAAAGGCTTTACTAAATAGAATTGCATATTAAAAGTATCGACAAGATGTCTATATAAATAACATTTAGAAGATGTTTCAAACGCACCACGTAATTCCTGAATAAATACGTCATGCAGACGTTGGGTATACATTTCCACAAATTGTTTTTCATTTGGAACATATTGAACATCCCAAATATGATTAAAACCCATTCTATATAAATCATTTTTAACATGATAAACCCAGTTAAGTTTACAATTCGGCTTTTTGACATTAAGCTCAAGTAGTGCATCATAGCATGCTTTTAGTACACAGTTATTTGTATTCAAAATATTTAACCAGTATTTAATTATAGCTACTTTGCGCTTTATATGTAAGGAATAACTTCCTGTCTCAAAGTAAACCATAGAACTATTGACGGTTTTCTTAACGTTTAATAAATCTTTAAGAAAGAGAAGATGGACTTTTTCGATTTGCGGCGATAAACAATTACCCCATACCTCACATCCATAGTTCAGTATGCATGTCACATATGTATCAAACAAAGATAATTTAGTTTCAGTATTAAGGATAAAATCTTTCATTCTTCTTTTTAAAAGATAAAAAGCATTCCTGCCTTGAGATGCCAACGTGTTTTGTGCTACGGTGAATCTTCCATTATAATAAAAAACTAATCCTAGATAACAAAATTTGTCCACTATCTCAATTGACTTGCCATTAAACGTCCAGTTTTCAGTAGGTAAGATTCTTTTACTTTTTCTAAAAATTACAATTTTAGTTTTATCATAATTAACAGTTAAATTCCATTTATCAGTGTAACATTGCAGACAATCTAGCATGTGCTGAAGATTGTTAACATCTTCCGAAAACAAAACTGTGTCATCGGCATACATTAACATAAACAGATTAATCA